CAGATAAACAGAAATAGAAACCACCCCAACAAGTTATTTCTGAAGTGCTTTGGGGCGATACGGCGACAAGGCACATTCAGAGCCCACTGCGATGTCTGTTAGGTGCCTAGAAGCTCTCGAAAGCGTACCCCTCTGCACACAATTTTTCTGCCACCTTCTAGTCGCCACTGGTAACGAGATGATAACCAGTGGTAGCACCTGTGTTAACAGCCTCCCTTTTCTTTTTATTCCTTTGATGTTGAAAGTAGCTCACTTTCTCGGAAGGAGCATGAAAGGTTCCCACAGATCTTTGCCCTGAGCGCTCACAGTAATAGAAAACCAGACTCAATGTCATGGGTCTAAACCATCTTTCTTTAGAGCTGCTTAGGGGTTAGAGTCCCTGTTTGTTTGCACTTTGTTTTGGAATGGAGGGATGTGCGATATTTGTATGCTGCAGGAGGGACATTGTCAGGAATAAAATGCGGAGAGGGGAGTCCTGCCTGTGGCAGGATATCTGCAGCTTCTGCGCGCTCCCCGTCTTTGATCTCTTGCACGTCTTGAGGGTGAATTTGCCCGTGCGCTTGCTCTCTCTCCTCTTTCCTTTCCCTGTGGTGCTTCAAACCAGACACTTTGTTGACATTGTACCATGGCACTTAGCAGCACACGTGCTGTAATGCTGTTATTTTTTCACCAGCCAGCTGTTCCACTTTATACAACACTTAAGTAACAATTTCACAGCCATTACCAGCCTGCAGTAATGACACGGGCTGAAAGCTAAGCGCTAACTGGTTGTAAACTGCAAAAACTGAGAGATGCTAAAACAGACACTTTGATAAATGAGAAAGGACATTGCCTGCATTTTAATTGGTCGAGTTGAAGCCTCTGTTATCACTAGAGTAAACACAGTGTTTAGTGGGTCATGAGATAGAACTGGGAATCACTATCTTTATGCACTTAAGAAATGTATTTCTTTGATTTCAGGTGTGATGTATTGATTCTGGGAGTTCCTTCTATGGGGTTGTTTTTTTTTTTTTTTCCCTTCTCCCTTCCCTTGATTTGTACCCTGTCAGCACTGCCAGATTTTCAGGGACTGAGGACTCCCAAGGGCTTTGCTTGCCATGATTGATTTGGTGCAAGGGGTGAGCAACTTAACGAGTCTCAGTAACCAACGTGCTGCGCTGTGAGCGGCGATCCAGAGGGAAATAACAGCCTGTAGAAACACCTGTGGAAGTGTTTGGTAGGTTCCTTGTTTAAAAACAAAACAAAAAACCAAACCAAAACAAGAAACCAACCAAAACCAACCATGACTGGAAGATTTACTAAGTCTTTTCTTTCCTCCTCTTTTCCAAAGTAGAAGCTGGCCCAAAATGAAGCGATGGGCACAAAGTACTCCAACAACTTTACTTTCAGCTGCCCAGCCACAGTGTTTTAAGCAACCATGCAATCTGTTGTACTTAGACTGTAAACCGTGAGCAAGTAAGTGAAAAGGCTTTGTCAGATGCCTTACTGTGTATTGCGGTTGAGAAATCTTAGTAGGCTGAACTGTGGCTGAACCGAGAGGCTATCTCATGAGCACTCTCAAGAGCAGCTGAAGGGTCGAAGACCCAGCTTGCTCTGTGACAGCCAGGCAATTCAATAAAGCAGATTTGCAAGAAAGTAATTGAGCCCTGACCGCAGTCATAGTGTTTTCACCTCAGGTATCTTCAGTTTTATCTGTTGACAAATAACATACCTTCAGTTATTGTTAACCCTGTTTCATCCAGGTCATTCTTTGGTAATTGCAAAGTGCTACTGCCATTGCAAATTGGCTAAATAAAATTCTGCAATTTCCCCCATAGTGGTAAACACAGCATCGAGACGTAATAGAGGAAAAAGCATTTCCTGGGATCGTGGAATTGAAGCTTTTGTGCTAATTATAGAAGTATATTTAACCAATTCTTCAAAAAGAGTTCCTAACCTCTAATTCTGTAGGAAACAACAATCTTTTTGTTAATTTTCAGTAAAATTAGGGGTTTGGGGCTTTTAATAGATGACTAAATTAGACCTTATGAAAAACTCTTCTAGGAAATCCTGACCCATAGACTGCAATTACTCCAAGGAGTGTATATAAGGATCTGCATTTGTTTTGAAACATTAGAAATCCATGCAGGATGGCAGTTTGTCATTGGATAAAGTGAATGTCAAGGATAAACCAGCTCAGCTTGTCTTACTGGTTTTGTGTCCATTTTTCTGGTTTACCTCATCACTCTGGCATTTAAAAGAATCCAGACAGAAAATAAGAGGATGGTATCTGTTATGTGTCTGTGTGTGTACACTTATTTTAATCTGTTTTTTAATGCTTTTTAAAATATAAGTGAGAAGTTCCCACTATTTTCAGTGTGTGGCTGTTTACTTTGCAGTACTGAGACCCTGCACAGGTCTCTCGATTGCAGTAAAGCTATTGCATATGTGCCAGCAGAGCAAGGTAGAATATGCTATGCTCTAAGGCTGCTTTTTTCTTGATTCCCTACCAGTTTTGTTAATAAAACATATAAAAACATAGCTGTTGTATAGTCAATATCATCTGTTGTGTGTTTTTGAGTAGCAATTGTAACATAGTAATTGCTCTTAACCTCCAGTCATGGGAAAATGGTTGCTTGTATATAAGGCTACCGTCTGTTTGGGTTTCCAGGACATGTACTCTTTGGGAGGGGGGATATGTTGTCCAGGAGAATTCAAGGGCTTAGTCTCTTTGTCCAGGCCTTCCAAATGTCTCACATCCAGGATCAGTGCTCCTGCACATGTCCCAGGGAGGCTCCATGGCATATAGAAATCTTGGATATACTCATTGGCACGTGCAGACTGCGGGGGCAGCAATCGGCCGCTGATCAAATCTACTGCACGCTACGCCGATGGTTTATTATACCTGCCCAGCAACCCTGAGGGGCCAACCTTACAGCACAAGCTCAAGTCATATCATATGTGGCTTCGTGAAATGAAACCAGCCGCCCACTTGTGCCCTTCCAAGCACTCGCTGGCTGGGAGCGATTTGGTTACTGCCCTGTGCTAGAGCTAGGACGGTGGGTTGGCTCCATCGAGACAGTTGCCTTTTCAAATACGCAAGCTCAGCTAGGTGGCCCAAATCCCACACCGGCACCTTCTCATCAGCTGTGATCGGCTGCTGGAGAGACAGCTAGCACATTAGAGAGCTAGAAGGGTGGGTATGAGTTTCTTAATCATAGCCAGCTTAACTTGGAAAGATCTGAACCACCCTCATTTCCCTGTGAAGTGGGAATCATTTTTCTCTCGTTGGTCTTAGTTGACACCCAGCAGTTTTCCTTTCTTGAGGTGGAACAGAAAGGCGGGACCAGATGCTCATCACTAGGAAGAGCTAAAGACATATGCTGAAAAATGTTTTATCCAGATTGTCCGGCCTTTTTCTGTTTCCCGCTCTTTCTCTAAGACGCCAGGAATGCAGTTTAATTTCCACTCTTTGACCATTGATCTCTTATCCTGAGGGATGTCTGTGGTCTAGGAGCAGTAACCTCACCTGCTTAAAATACATTTTGTGAAATCAGCATAGAAGAACTTGAGCACAAATTGTTAGCCTTCATGTATTAATTCTTCCAGGTGTGCTAAGGAAATTACAGCCACTGCTATTGAGTTAGTGGTAGAAGAAATGAGATCTAACCCTTTTTGTCCAAGAAAGTTGAAGGAATCCTTTGGCTTTTTATTTTGAAAACATCTGTGTGGATGTTGTCCTTCAAAGATTTCACAAGTAATTTCATGCAGAGGCAGAGCTGGTAGTGCTTGTTTTACTGATATTAGCATCTCTGCATGGCAGCAGCTGTTTATACAAAAAATCACATACCTTTTTGTTTCTTTGCCCGGAATTGAGAACTTGCCATAGCACTGAATGGATTTTGTGTATGAGATTTTAAGCAAATATAATTAAACTGTCATTTCCTGACAGCTCATATATGAGGCTGTTTGACCACAATGGACCTTTTGATTTTGTAAACACATTCAGAACCCAAAAGTTAACACCACCAGAAACTCCAAATTCAGTAAATTGGCCAACATTACATAGCTGTGGACTAATTCAGTAGAGCCTTAAGATACATATTTAGATATTTAGTTAGAGGAAGGGAGAGAAAGACTTCAGGATTACAAGACCTGCTGAGAGGATGTAAACCAGATAATTTATATATATATATATATAGTTCCTCTTCTCCACTAGTTATTCAACACCAGAAATACTGTGCTAACACATGGGAACCAGAAAGTACTTCTCAGTAGGAGCCAGTCCAGCTGTCATGACTGTAACATTTTGTCATACACTTTTTCCTATTGTTTAACCTTATACTTGGAAAGAGACTTCTCAAGCAACCACTTACTTTTGGAAAAATAAGAATATTTTAAAATGTTTTTAGGATCAGAGCTAATAGAACAGTTAAACCCAACAGTATTAGAAGAAAATGCAGAAATGTTGTGGACTCAGAAAGATGATGAAAAGTGGAGCAAATATAGGAAATGTCATCTTTGAGTAATCGGGGGGGGTGGGGGGAAGAAAAGGTAGATTTTGCTTGTAACATAAGACCTAGCAATGGTTCTCAGCTCTTCACTCCACATATAAGCCTCAGCAACACAGACTTCTTTTGGGGACAAAAATGCTACTTTCCTCTCCAGTACAATAACTTCTAGTCGAGAGAGAGCCTTAACATGCTCAGTGATGCCCACAGCGTGGATAATGGAAGAGCAGGAGTGAGGACCCTGCTCCAGAACGTATCTACTCTGCAATTTAGCTATGAATAAAGCCATAATTACCATTAGTTCAGTAAGATTTCTATCTTGATAGCGTTTCTTCAAAATATGGAATTCTTCATTAATTCTCTCAACTCTTTTTCCATGTAATACTGTTGAACTCTAATGAGCGGTAGCATTTTCTGTGGGGCAGTAATGAGAAAATAATGAAGAAATAAGTAAGAGATCAAGCTGACATTTTGTATCTAATTGGTGAAATATCCTCTCGTTCCTCCTAGGGCAAAGGTGAAGAAAGGTGTGAATATTTTCAATGTACGAGCCAGCAGCCCATACTTATGGGACATCAGAGAGAGCATGGATTATACCGGGAAATATGCACCAGCTGTTATTGTTTGCCAGAGGAAATCTGCTGCCTCTGAAAACAGGTAGGTCATTTCCAGCAGTCTATCTTTTAATAACTAAGGGTTGTTTTTCCATTTCAAAGCATTTTGCCATGAGTTTAATAAGTTTTTATTATAGTGCATGATGAAAATGCTTTTTGGAAAAGCTGTGGCTGTCTTTATTTTGTAGTGCTTTGCTAATTCTACCACGTACACTTTGAACAAAATGTTATTCAAGCCTAATACTCAAAGGAAGCTAAAACTAGCAGGAAATATTGTTTTCACAGAGTATTTAGAAGAACATGTTTCCTATGTTAGAATTCGGTTGTGACTAGTTTAATATCTTCAAATTATTTGCTGCCAGGCATTATAGCAGGGGGTAATTATAGGGCTGTTTGTGGTGGTGTTTTTTGGTTTGTTTTTTTTATATTTGCTTGGGGCTTTTTTGGTTTTTGGTTTTTTGGATTTTTTTTTGGGG